GATATGCACGCACAACATCCCGGCACACAGCTGCGAAGGATGCATCACTCGCAAAGCCGATAACTGAGGACATTGAAAAGTCTACTGACAAGGCAATGCAGCGTCTGGCACCTATACTCTTTTTGAAGCCTTGGCGTACATGCTAACACAACAGCTGACACAAATTATTGGCACAGTTTCTGTGCAAAATCGGGATTCCAAGGCTTTGTTGATTTCAAAAAGTACAGAGAAGGAAAATCTGAAAGTTATTTATAGATCTAGCTCTCCGAAAACAGGACCTCCTAAAAATATAGTTCAGCTGAGTCAGAACCTGTGACAGATGATTCTGGAGACTTTACAGATATGGACACAGAATCTCAAAAGAATCTGAAGCGTAACAAATTTACCTCTTAAAAAAATGTCCTCAGAACTCAAAATAAAAAAATACCTTTTAAAAGAAGGACTTCTTTCAGAGCCTTTCAAAAAATGATTTCTTGAAAAAAATATTCTAGATCAGGGAGTTTCTACTGCTAGTATAGAATCAAAATGGGTTCTCAAAAAGCTCTGCAGTGAAATTTCTGGTCTGTTTGGTCCGCAACTACAGACTTACAATATATTTATTCGCAATTTTCTCCCGAAATAATTGCCATTCAGGAAACTTGGCTTGCTAATTGTAAAAAAATTTACCTGATAAGTTAGCGATTAATTTAGCTCGATCGGCCAAGTAGAGGTGGTGGTCTGGCTTTCTTAACATTAACGAAGTTTAGTCACAGAGCCAACATATCGTATCAGTGTATGGGTACGAAATAAGAAATTATGGTGTTAGACATGGCACTACCATGCTGCTCGCCTTTTTCTTTTGCAAATTTCTATTTTCCTGCAGTAGTTCAGGGCAGAGGTGCCTCGATATATGTTAGCTGCATGCAGAAAAGAAATATTACTGTGCGGTGATTTCACGGCACATCATGTGCTTTGGGGCTTCAGATCTGATAATTGTGGAAGAAGTTTGTTGAAAGGAACGCTTGATAAAAACTTTTTTCGCTTGAACTCACTTGCTGCTACATTTGTTAGAGGTAACTATAAATCGACTATACGTTTAACATTTTCCTGCTCCACTTTACGCATATCCTCGCGAAATATCTTAGACTGTGCTACAACCAGCGACCACCTTCCCATTAGGTTCCCGAGGTTTAGTTTGGCCTGGATAGTTGGCTCAATCGTAAATTAAGCTAAATTACAAAAAGACCTATTGTTTACAGAAATTTTCGCGAGGAATGCAGGAAGACCTTAGGGCTATAAGCCTGTGTGCGGTATTGAAACTATTTATAAAAATTCAATGTTTACTAGAAACTTGAACACAGCGGGATCTTTCAGCCCGTGGGGGAATATAGAATGTGTCAGGGGGCACAAAAAGTGAAAAGTGGCTTGGTAAGAGCTTTAATTACCAAGGATCCAAAAATTGGTGTGATTTTAGATTATAGGCCACTGATTTCAAGTTTACAGTACACAAAGCAAAAGAAGACTGTGATATGATTAAATTTATTTATGTGTCAAAGTCTAGAAATAAGAAAGCGCTTTTCAGGTTTTTTGCGTGCGAGAAAAAAGATTACACAGTTCGAAAGCATCATTCATTTTATTATTAAGTCTTTTTTGGAACTCTCTGAATTCTTGGAAAATATTACTAAAGGCTTGCAAATCAAGTTTACGACAAATACGCCAAAGTCCATAGTGAAATTAAGGGCAGATGAGAATTTACAGGAGGTGTCTTTTGCTGAACTGGCGGATGTGATGAAGTGCTTACCGCCCGCTGCTCTTGGGCCTGATGGGGGACCTCTACAATAATAAAAGGGCTATACAAAATATCCTCACATGAAATCCATATTATAGGTAATTATTCACTGAAAAATTCTTGGATTCTGGCAGAATGAAAGCTTTCCAAAATTATTCCGGTAATAAAAAAACAGGGAACGGAGTTTACCCTGGACAACATAAGGCCTGTTTCATTGACGTCTAACCTGGTAAAACTTCTTGTAGCGAGAGTCTTGAATGCCCGTGTATTGAACTATATCAATGAACATACAATATTAAACCCCAGAAAAATTGTCTTTAGATTGGAATACTTCATTTGGTGTGCACATGTGGATTTGGAAAGTCGAATACAGCTGGCTCGGCATTGGCGCGAGTACTGTGCACTAGTCACTCTATGCTTAGCTAAAGCGTACGATAAACTGAAGTACTCTATCCTACTCCAGCAGACGTAAGAATATCGCTTTGCGAAATATGTAACATCATGGATTACAGAGTTTGTTAAAGACAGAGAATTTTATTGCTTCATGGGTGGATGCTCTTTTAAAAGATATAAGCCGACACGAGGTGTAGTACTCCAGGGCTCAGTATTATCCCTTGTTTTATTCAATATACTACTACTAAGTTCCACTCGAACTCATGGAGATATTCAAATTCACGTGTATGCAGATAATATTGCTTTCATTGCAACAAACAGTGATCTGCACTCATTGTATCAGGCACAACAGAATTACATGATCATGCTAGAAGCATGGCGTTACAATATCCGTTTATTATTTAACGTCAAAAATGTGCGCTTCTATCGTTCTCTCTTAAGGATCTTGTCGACATTTCTCATATGTATCGCAACGAGCTCATTTCTCAAGTCGATTTCCTGAAATATGTAGGCATCGTACATATTAGAACGCTCAATTAGAAAAGCCACATAGACGAGGTTGGCTGAAAAGCGTCACGTGCCTTGGTGTGGTTACGAAAATTCGGAAACAGAAAAACAGGATTGTGAAGGAATACATTGATAATCATTGACAAGATATATGTACGGCCTATTATAAAATTTGGGTGTGTATTATTTTCTGGCAGCAAGGCATACAAGATGAGACAGTTATTATTATTAGAAAAAGAAGGTTCGCGCTTGTTTGTTGCATAACTTGCAACAAACTCCCCAAGTTTGTTGCAAGTTATGTTTTGTATGTGGAAACGTGTCTTCCACTTTTGCTAACTCGGTTTAGAATACTTACAGTTTAAACTTTCCTAAAAATACAAAATTCGCCTTTGAGACAGAGGTCTTGCGTTTTCACTCAAGAACCAAGCGCCTTTTTCGTACACAGTGGTTTAGAATGCACTCCCCTCCAAATAGGTTTGTCTAAGTGCTGCTAGAACCTATGAATGTATATATCTACTAGATAACCTCAATGGAGATGCCCAATGATATTCTTGAAGTAGAATACGTTGATATTTCCCCCTCTAATGCGAAACAATTGCCCTTTCAATATTTAAATGTTCAGGTAAAAGATTGCTTCAGTCATTTGTCCATAAACAGCATTATTTCGATGAGTGCAACTGTAATAAACAAAAAGGCTAGAGTTGTCATCTTTTGTACTTCTATCGACTGGTCTTTTTCATTTCCATTACCAGATTATAAGCCTATATTCATTGCTGAAATACTTTCTATAATTCGAGCAATTCGTAACCTTCTTGCAAGCGAATCAGAAGCAGTCGTAATTACTGATTCTCTCTCAGTATGTAGTGCACTCTCTGATGCTAAAAATTTGACATTATTGAGTATGATTTGTAGTTCATTGGCAGCAAACCTGAAAAAATTTCACTTGCTATGGGTATCTGGCCACTGCGGGATTCATCCGAATGAGATGGCAGACTCGTTAGCCAAAGAGTCTTTAAGCGAACTACTCTTACCTATTTTACCTGACGTCACTTATGTAACAGCACTCTCATATAGAAATGCTTGTTTGCCCAAGGGAATAAGAAAATTATCATTGGATAAAGTCAGAGACTTCGTATATCTAAGATTTTGCTGGAACAAACAGTGGTGTGTATCTCGACAGTTAGAAATTACAATCACCAGATTACGACGCAGAATTCCGCCGCTGAATTATTACTAACATTAAGGTGGACTCAAAGCATCTCCGTTATTTCTCTTTTGCAAAAAATTAGTAACAATAGATTACTTCTTTTCATTCTGTCACCGACATTCTTATCAAAGGGAAAGATACCTGGTCGATCCAACTGAAAAGCTAGGTTTAAAAATACACGTGGCAGTAATTTACCTTTTGGAGGTATTCTAGGTTACAGCCACATGAAGGTTAGCTCTGCCTTGTGCGCGTACATTATGGCAACAAAAAGATTACCTGGTTAGTCTATTGTAATTAATAATTTCAGCTCCGAGACTACCTGAATGCCTGACCGCTCGCTCTTGTGACATTTTCGTGCATTTTTACAATTTGTTCCTGCTTTACACTAAAATTCTATTCAATGATTTTAATACATACCTATAACTAACTTTATGATCCAGCCAACCGGTACTTGGTTTATCGCCCTTTGTCGGCAAGTGCCAGCAAAGTGAAATGCTCATCATCATCATCATCGTCGTCGTTGCTGAGCACCTGTCTGCCACGCAAACAATACGGGTTTGATCTTCTCTAAGACACTAAGTCTTTTATTACTTTTGTTTGCAATTTTCTCTATTTTTTTCTGCAAAGATGATAATTTTTCACTCACATTCAATGACGCAGACGCCGTAGTTTCTGTGAAAAAAGCTGTTTAACGCTTTCGCATTCAAACAATGAAGAAATTGCTTGGTGCAGGCCTATGCCGCAAGAGGGAAGAATAGAGACGCCTTAACCATAAGGACGCCAGCAGCGATCTCGATCCGAGACTTCACGTGCAACTGCTGAGCACCACCTCTTTTTTTTTTGTTTTTGCGCTCATTCGCTCCCCGTTTTCAGGCATTCATTTGAGTGCGCTACTACACACGACTGCAACATAGAAAAAATTGCTTACTGTAAGACTACACTCGCACGCAAGTAGGTGCGATCCAAAGAACTTTGAAAACACTTGGAGCTGCACTGAGGAAGCAGCAGTAAATCATTTTCAGCAAGAACTCTGATACTTGTCGTAAACGAAAACACTGCATTGCGTGAGAGACCTTACATCTAGCTGTGTTTTTTTATAAAACAAGAGAAAAAGTGAGTTTTCACCTCATGAAGACGACGGCAGTAACGATGCAGTAAATGCTAAAGATGCTCATTTTTACAGCCTTCTTGTGTGTGCTTATGGCCCAAAAATGTTCCAGCGAATTGCCTGAAAAAAAATCATACATGACTTAGCGGTAATGTCCTGCGGAAGCCATTTGTATCGAAAGGAGCACACTAATCTAATGTTTTATGACACGAGAGAGAGCTTTTTCAACTGTTCACGAATAAATATCTCAAATCCAGTGTAAACAAGCACACGGGCAACGAGGTAAACAACTGTCATGACATTTTAGGATATGCAGGTTAGAAAAAGTGTAATTACTGTACAATAGGAAACATTGTATATTTTGAAATGAAAAGGTGTAAATGGTTAACTGACTGATATTGTCAAAAACATAACGCATTGTTTTGACAACTTTCAAACATTTTACTTCGTTTTACTCCCCGGAGCAAATGCACTACAAATAAAAAGTGCAAGCGAATAATATTAGTGATGAAATACTATCTACAAAAAAGGAGCAACGCTGTGTTGCTTCTTTATACAATGAGAACTAGCTCTAAACAAAACTTGTACTGATCGGTGCTGATCACCGTAGATTTATGTTGACGGGGCGATCAAGCAATATTTATTAAACGTAATTATAAACATGCCAAGGCACTGAGTTATGTACATAATGCAAGTACTGTGTATCAACTAAAACCAACAAAGCATTCCAGAAGCCTTTGAACAATAGACCTCTACCGGGGTATGTCACAGCGTGACGTTATCCGTGCACGTGCAAGGCGGTGGTTAGCAAAACACTCCCGCCGGTGGCTGAGTAGGGTGCAGTCGCTCGGTGCTTGGGGCAAGTTTTTCTTTTCTTTTTGAAAGCCTATTAATAATCTCACCGTGGCAACATTAGCTGCGGTGTGTGTCAGAGAACATCTAGGTGCGTGGTAAAGAGCGTGAACAAATATTTGCCATACTGGCTGGCTCCTGATCTTCGAGAAGGGAACACACGTGGCAGCCTGTGAGAGGAACAGTGGTATCATCTTCGAAAATGTGCAGTGTTGACTGTGGCGTATAGTGTGCGTGAAAAGACATCGACATATTGGTTCACCTTTACGGGTGGTAAAACCGGGAATATTGTGCGAGGTGTGCAGTGTGAGTAACGCAATGCACCCTGTTTGCGAAAACACTAGTATTCGTTGTGAGTCGGTTGCAGTAACTGGTTGTCTAGGGAACTTAACAATCTGACTGATCTTAGTCAAGGTAAAAATGCATTTTACGCAATTATATGCTAGTGGGTACATCTCAGCGTATGCGTGGCGTGCCGAAAAACAAACGTGCATGATCTTCGGGTGACAATTAGGTGCATGAGCAATAAGCATGTTGTAGTGGAGCCGAATCTGCAAATACGTTTCCCCACGGCTATAACTTGTGTTATTGGATACTGATACGTGTTAATTCTAACAGCGGAGATTTTCGTTTGTTATCTACTTCGCACTTTTTTTGCTGGATCCTTATGAAGTGACAATGAGCATTACAACGTTCTGTATCAAGCCTATAGAGGTGTGAAAACACGTTATAGGTGTGAAATGCAGCAAGGTAACTATTCCAGATAATATATTATTAAGTTGTCGGGTTTTACCTCACACAAGTTTTCACTAGGTTATTAAAGTTTTTGAATAGGGGCCTCAAAGCGTTTTGCGTATGGACGATTTGGGTCAAGCAGGAGCGATGAGATTTCGAATAGGGTCTGACGCTCTTTAGAAACTCGCCCTATTCTTCACTATATTCTTTACTGAAGTCACTCTAACCTTGGCCGAGAGCCGTCACTTCAGTGGGTGCCCTCAGTTTTGCCTGACCCAAAAGTTTTCAGCAGGCTTTGTGCGGTGTGGGTTTCGAGCATGCGCAGTGGCTTTAACGCTATTTCTTTGGGACTCATCTTTGAAAACTCCCTATTGAGAAACGCAGTGGCAGATTTCCACTTTCATTTTTACTAGGATGTAATTACCTCAGCCTAACGCACGGCAAGGAGCCTTTTTTTTCATTCATCTCCGATCACACTTTCGTGCAATGAGTGAGAATCTTATCCATGGCGTCGTGCACAGCATCTCGAAAACATGCTGCTGCCAATGGTGTACCTCGTTTAAAACTGCATTCTACATGCCACAATAAAAATTTAATAGGTTTACAACTATGCCAACCAACTATTTCTCAAAGTGCCAGTCAACGTGTACATTCAAAGCGTTCGCTTTGGAAAAAGATTAGAGTTTTTTATGGCTGCCATCAACGTGGCTGAAGCCCACTGCTTGCTAGTCGCGTGTCTCAGTACCCTAAATAATGTTTCTCCATCCATCCATCTACGATGAACAAACGTCCATACCTTGAGCAGTGACCCTTCCACGACCCCCTTCTTTCAAAGGCCGTGACTTTAGAACATAGCAATGTCGTTACTTCTTTCAAAAGAATGCAGATGCGCAGCTCTGCTATGCAGAAAGAGGCCACCGGCGGAACTTTCTTGCCAACCAGTCCCTGCTCCGAGCGAGGTATGTGGTGGGCAGGGTGCCCGCAGTGACGTCACACTGTGTACAAACAGGTAGAGGTCTATTGTAAGGGAACGGGAGCCACTAGTATAACCTCTACGTTACCGACATAAGTTTTTATCCCGGATGCTTGAAGTTCTAAACGTCAATATGAGTGTGAAAAATGGAAGACTTAGTAAAGAATTTGATTTTTATTTATTATTTCATAATCTTCCGCCATTTCTGAAACGTCCTGGTACTTCTGCTTCATATTTAGACAATTATTTTGCTGCACATAACCGCGTGAGCCCCCTGCCTGCAATAGTGAAAAATACGTGAAGATCATTACTCTCTCACTTTTGTGAGAGCTACCGCCATCTGTTTACAAGACTTCCAAACGCCTCCTTGTTTTAACAATGAAGTCAGTTCCGCATGAAAAAAGGTGTGCTCCACTCAGTTTGCACAGACAGTCTGTCAGGTGAAGTGCTTACCATAGTGTATTTCGCGGCAATATCAGCCCGTTTGTGGTTCTCGAATTCGTGATAGTGTGCGCACATATTCACAGCTTTTTGACAAGAAATATGACAATACCGTTGCAATGCATAATTTTTGTGATGTGGAGGCAAAGAATAAATACCGTAACCCAGCCTCTTCAGACAAGCCAAGCGACTGTGAAAACCAGTCACATGCGACGGGGTGACAGAGCTGTTTCAAATAATAGAGAATGCGTCACGTAGGCCATTAGTTCTCAACACTCTTTCATTGCGCAGAGAAAAAATTGTACTTGAGGTTTTGTAGTTTGTTTCTTACGACGTTCCATCCAGAGTCTGGCCTTCATCAGGATGAAGGCCATTCGTCCTTTCTGAAAGCCAATTTCTGGCTGAAACGTCGAGAGAAAAAAAAACTATGGTGCCACTTCTCACGACGCATCTACTTGACTACTTGCAACGCTATGAACGTCCGACTCTGCCAAGGTGGCGTAGCGAAAAACACCGCAGCCAGCACCCCCATTGCCATGCGGGCCATAAATTGGTAGTGCACAGAGAGCCATATCAAGCGAGCGCACATAGGCCCTCCTCTGTGAATGTTCTTGAGGCGCGATATTATGAAAATGAAGGATTTAGCAATCTTCGTTCTTCAATCTAACATCACATCATAACAGCTGGAAGCTCATCAAGACGAAATGTGGGTACAATGTAAAAGATGTTTCATTTATTTCGGCATGCTGCAACTGGTAACTCAAATTCAAGCGAGCATCGCATGACACCGAGTTAAAAGCGGCAAAAAAGTGATTGTGCTTATGATCATTTCGCGATTCACCTGTGTGACGCATGTGTTCGCATTTCATGGTTGGAGCCGGGACTTGAAGCCTCCAAAGCCCCACGTGCGTGATGCTGTGTGGAGCGAGAAGTTCATACTATCGGTGGTCGTGGTGTGTTCGGTGTGTATATCTCCTGGGCGTCACCTGTCTACTATTGTACGTCGCGCACCGCTGTTGGAGGGTCTGTCAAGCTTCATAATAAATGTTACCACGGTTCCTCTTTAAGGGTACTCAGAACAATAACAAAAGACCTACATTATCACAACGAATCAAGCGAACGTCCATCGAAAACACGAGTAATTTTTTTAGCAAACACGTTTGCAACGGCCTGTATTTAGCCTTCTCGCCATTCTGCTTTGTGAAAGCTGCGGAAATCAGTAAAACTGAAGTCACTTACGTCTGTGGCAATTCACAACGAGACAGTAGCACAGAACGGTCTCTTTTTTTTTGTGGAGCGCGGAGCTGATGCGTCTGATTTCGGTTTCGCCATCGTTTAGGTGAAAGAGCCAGCAAGCACTTCATGGAAGTTCGGTGACGCGTCCGGCTATCGGAGGGAAATTCGTAGATATTTTTCTGAACGTTCAATACGCAAATACATCTAATATTCAACCCAACCGTTCTTTCGTGCGCTGCAGTTGCACCTGGTCGTGCAGCAAACTGTGCAAGGGAGTAGGGCTTAGCACTACTCAGAACTGCTTCAATAGGTAGCAGTGCGTGTCCGCAATACTCCAGAGTCTGATGACAATGGCCACTACACAACCACGATATATATATATATATATATATATATATATATATATATATATATATATATATATATATATATATATATATATATAAGGAGTGACCAGTGGACGGCTGTGCAGCACGAGCTGTCGCTTTTTCCCATCCAATAGACTCGCTAGCAGACGCTGCTTTCATCAGCGTTGCAAGGTGATAGAAGGGCAGTGTAAGAGAGGAGAAGGAAAGAGGAGGATGGGACGCGCTTGTGCAATGACGGTGTATGCGCTGGACGGGGAAAGCCTAGGGGATAGAGGTGAGCGAGCGTAGGTTAGCCGACACTGCCTGCTGTGGCATTACAAGGAGAGGAGCAGGATATGAGAGGAAAGAGAAAGAGAGGGTGCATGAGTATTGTGAGTGCGGACGCCCATGCTGCGGGACAATCTATGGGAGCCAGATATGCTTTGCATCTAAAACCATTCAAATCTTCCCATAGCGCTTGGTCTGCTTTTCCGGGCAAATTATTGCTTGCTGCTAACGCCAGTGCTCCCTGAGTA